TTCTTTCCCAGTAAAAAGAGTGCTCGTCGCAGTGTACGAGTAGACATGAGATCATTCACACTTGTAATTGCTATTTTGGCAGCGCCTGTAGAACAAAAACTTTGATGACAACCTAATACTTGGCGCTTCATTTTCAAAATGTATGCGCTCTAACTAGCTTATTTCTTGTAACTTTAGAAAGTCCATTGACAAGTTTACATATTTTAGCTTGACTAGAAGACAACTGGAAATAGTCGAAGGCTTTCTAGGTTAGCACACTCGGAATGGTGACAAATGCTTTAGCTAACTTCTCTTTGCTTTATGACCCACTGCGACGGAATTCCTTTTGCATACTATGTTTTTCTCACATTACCTCCAACTTAGGGGTTTTACTTATATTCCTGCTTTATGCTGTGCCATCAACGCTCGGGTAGGTGTCCTTTTTTGAAGAATTTTGCATATATTGGTCTTATCAAGACAGAAGGAAGTTGCTGGTGATCAGATGAACAAGATTATGGGACAACTGACAGTTGTATTTTGGTATGCAACTGCTTACTCGCACTTGGCCATATCCGTAAATCGTCTAGTAGCAATTGCTCTCCCATTCCAAGCGGCCAAGCTGCTTACTAGGCCAAAATCATTTCTTTTGGTTCTTGTCATCTGGTGTATCGGGCTCTGCCATGCCGCTCCTTATTTCTGGAGTGAGTGTCTTGTCAATCTAGCAAATAATCGTCAATCACTTCTAGGAACATACTGTTACGTGTACTACGACTGCAGAAAGTGGAGATGGATAATTGCTGAATCACAATGCGGAAAAATTCTCATCTACGTTGCAAAATTCAGTATGTTTATTCTGATTGTGAAATGCGTCATAGATGTCGTTGCTGTTGTAAAATTTAGGAAAATCAACAAGGTTTGTTGCCTACTGCTCTTTTATTTTTGAAGTTACTTATCATCTTTTGAGGTATTTGCTTCTAATACAAGCTTGTTCACACTGAGTGAGGTTCAAAAAAGAAAACGCCGCATGGAAGTTAAATTTTTCAAACAGGTATCTGGTCAAATAACATGAGTGTCTTGAGAGGATCATCATCTTGGATCAGCCATTGTCTTAATAATCAAGTAATTGTTGTTTACGAGCATCTATACACAGACCCTTCGTCGAAATGGACTTTTCCTCGTGGTTTTCGTCAACTTTCACTATATATCTCCACTCTTCGATGACCGCTGGCTAGTTTACTTGACAAGCACTTTCGCTTGGCAGCTTCTCCATGCCCTTGATGGGTGCGTCCTTTCTTCTTGACTAAGATAAATGTGGAAAAGATAAAGAAATAAATCTATTTTACTTAAGTGGTCTGTAAAGGTTGAGTTTCATTTACGTCGATTTCTCCGCGGATTTGTGCAAACAAAATCATTACAGAGCTGTCATATTACTATTTCATTTCAAAATCTCTCAATAGAGGACCATGTTTGGAAAAATTGTATCCGCTTTGTCCGACTTTGTTAAAAAGTGTTCTGGTTTACTCCGATTACTCCTATCTGTTTTTTGAACCCTTAATAACGACAATAAATGTTCCTGTTGACTGAGCTTATGACATACTGAATTTGGAAAATGGCAGCTTTTCTGAACGAGTCCGAGTGTTCTGAAGGGAATGAGTAAGAAGTGAAATAAGCACTTGCGTAACATGCATGTGGAAAATCGCATTGGCATAAAGCTTTCCATTATTTACACATACGCACATCGACCGCAATAAAAGATTTTAGTAACTTTGCTGTTGAGCATCGCAGGCAAGATGCATCGCTTGCTTGATGGGCAATATATATGAGCTGCCGTATGCCAATGTGGCTCGGCTTTGAAACAAGTTGTTGCAGTATCAGCCTACAAAAAATGAATGAAAATAGAGTTCATGAAAAGCTAGACGTAGACAACATTGTGTGCAGTGATGACAATTGCCCTATGCAATCCTGATGTTGAACCGTACGAGCCTCACGTGGTGGAGAAAGACAGATCACTTTTGTTAGGCTATTAAATAAGGTCTGTCCGATTTTGATTTTCAAATCCAAAATGTTATGAATTCATTATACTCAGGCGCTACTTCAACTGGTACTTCTCAGACTTTGTTTTTGGTGATTGAACAGGAAATATGAAGAAAATGGTGTGAAGTATGCCATAGACAAAAGACCGTTGAAAATAAAGGCATGCTGAAGCAGTGACAAATCTAATGAATTGCGATAATCATAAATTATAATAACGACTAAGGTTGTTTACGTGTTTTTTGTATGTGTGTGTCTGTGTGTCTGTCTATAACGAAATTCATAGAGCGAGTTCCAGCCGGTGTCCTGAG